GTGTGTGTGTGTGTGTGTGTGTGTGTGTGTAGGTGTGTATGTGGTCACGTTTTTTGTTACATCGTTTCCAGAAAAAGGCAGCCTCATGGGGACCAATGCCCGGTCCACACAGGTATGGATGATAATTTCAGGTGTGGGCTTTGGTTTAGGAACTGAATTGAGTTTAGGTCAACTTTAGGGTAAAGGTCAGGGTTAGGCTATGAAATTACCAGAAAAAGAATGGAAGTAAATCCACGGTCCCCACAGGGATACAAAAACAAACCTGTGTGTGTGTTAGGAAACAGTCCCATGAATCACTGAACAATAGATTAAAACTCAGAGTAATCACTGAATAACATCCAACTCAGTATGATCACCACACCTAGCTGACCTGAGCTAACCTGGTCAGTTTTACAGGTGTTGAGCTAAAATCTGCTGTGGTAGTAGCTGAGAGTTGTTCCTAACAGTCCGAATGTGGACAGAACTTTCTTTTTTTTAGATTTAGCCATAAGTGACACGTTTACAGGTAGGATGAAACTGTTTTTAATCCAGACTTTTACAGTATTCTTTCCAGATCAAACCGGTCCTTTCTTTTTTTACAATCTGCTGTTTACAACTTAACTGCCTGTGAGTTCATAACAGCACGTTGGCAGGACCGGACCCGTTATGGACCAGGAAAAACAAGACACCTCCTCGAATCCTGGGCTCCATTTGACAAGCACTTCCTGCTCTTTAACACAGTGGTCTCACATTCACACAGAGCGTTTTCACGTTTCCACACTGGTGTTTTATCGTGTCGTTGTGTAACCGAAGAGTTTTAGTGTTGGAGAACAGCTGAAATGAGTCCGGCTGTTAGTGACGCAGGGTGGTTCAGTCTTTGTAGGAGCAAAGTCAAAGGGTCGTAAAATGAGGCGATGCTGGGAAAACTTCCTGCTTCATTCAAGGAAAAGCTCCGTCAGCACCGGAGGAACACCTGTTCTCAGGTAAGACGTGACAGAACAAGCTTCTGATTATTTTTAAAAAAATAGATATTATTCATATGTACTTTTACACATGTATCATTTTACGCTTGTGTTGATCAGAAATTATTAAAGTTTTAAAAGTGAAAGTCAAGTTTATATGAGATAATTAAAATAAAATGTATTATTTTAATGATAATTAAAATAAAATGCAGTCAAAATAAAATGTTTATGTGACTAAATTATTGCCTAAAAATGCTTATTTTTTTTACATTTTTCACAGTATTTTACAGTCTTATTATTTCAAAACCCCATTAAAGTGGACTGAAGCAGTTTTAATGTTATGTATTTCATCTAAATCTAAAGTAAAATTATTTTTCAGTTTATTTTTCAGACCTTTACATACACACTTTAGCCATGCTGCATTTGAGTAAGGTAAGAGCAAATCATCTGATTCGTATTTTCAAATAATATTAAATTTTAGGATGCTTTGTAGGATTTTTATGAGCACTTTTGGTTTTTGTGTTCAGGGGGAGTTCGTGTGGGTGGACTCTGGGAGCGGGGTGCCGATTGGGGCAGAGGTTAAGGTCACCGACACCGGGCAGCTTAAGCTGGTCGACGATGAAGGAAAGGTACAGAAACCCCTCTGGGTGAGTTCAGCCATGTCCGGCAGCATGTTTTTACATAACCGCCTGCTCTGTCACAAACAGGAGCACAAGATCAACAAGAAGATGGAGGGCAACGTGCGGCCCATGCACCCCACCTCCGTGAAAGGTGTGGACGACATGATCATGCTGGGTGACCTGAACGAGGCCGGGCTGCTCAGGAACCTGATGGTGCGCCACAAGGAGGGCATCATCTATGTGAGTCCCACTGACGCCCAGTTTTTACGATGCCCTTAACCTGCGGTTGGAAAAAGAACATAAACGTCAGCGTTGTTGGCCGGCTGTTCACCGCTCTGAGGTGTAGACTTTGTCCTGCAGTTTGTTACAGATAAATAAATTGCTGTCACCATAGAGACGAATGGGCCTCTGTTGTAAAATAATGCTGGATGTTTCCTGCTTCGCAGCATCAAAGCTCAGCAGCGGGGTTAGGAGTCAGGACATTCAGATAAACTGATGTGTTAAATGTAAGGAAACACAAAAAACAAGTAAATTAAGTATAACTGAAAAATAGTATAATAAAATAATTCAGATAACTTTTTGTTTCTTATTCTTATTGAAGTTTATAGAAAAGTGGTCATGAAATAAAAAAAAATAATACAAACCATTACTATTTTGAGCACATGTCAAACTCAAGGCCTGCAGGACAAATCTGGCCCTCGTTAACATTTTATCCAGCCTTAAAGATAATTGTAAAATAAATGGTTTTATTCTTCCTATGACAGCTGGCTAACTTAAAAATATACATTTGATGTTTTCAGTAATCTTTGATTTTGATGTGGAAAGAGTACCAGAGAATCAACTCTAATTATCATTTTTTTGTTTATTTTTTTATTTACAGTCAAATAGTAGGAATGTTTTGTGAGATTTTTTTAACTGATTTGGACAGAGCCTTATTTTTTTTTGCGTTCCCATGCAATACCTCTGCGTTACCTCACAAAATGTTTTGCATTACCTCGCAATATTATTTTGYCTTCCTACGCTAAATTTTTTATGAACTTATTAGATAAGACTTTATTTTAAATATCCCGTTAACTAAAAAAAGATGTGTCGCCACAAGTTCTGGAAACTGACATTGATATTGCATGGCTGCACTTTGTTAAAATATTGGCATTTTACATTCTTCTATGTGTTATATTCCTTCTGAAGCTGAATTAAAATAGTAGGCTAACTCGTTAATGGTGAGCATGTGAACTTGTTAATAAACCGGCAGGCCAAACAATGATTAACAACTTTTGCGAGGTAACGCAAAAGAAAAAAAAAATCCCTCTATGTCCCCTCGCGGGCTCCGTAGCATGGTGACCGAATTTGCCTCTAAGAAATAAGAAATGAAAARGTTGTAGAGCATAAAAATGCTAAAGACGTCTTTCTTTTAATCTTTTTTCTAAGTTATGTATGCTCCAAATATAATTTGGAAAAAATAATTTATTTTTAGAAAAATAATTTGTTACATAGCCTTTTTTTCAATGTTGACAGAAAYTGGCCCTTGTCGTGGGCCAAGTTTTAAATTTTGACCCCTCGTGTAACTGAGTTTGACCTCCCTGATACAGAGGAACTAAACAGTAGAAATATAAAACATGAATTCAGTCATGTTCAGATCATACAGTCTCTCTGTTCAGATGAAGTAACACTTTTCAAAACTCGGCACCACTTGGAGTTCCTCAAAGATCCATTCTGGGCCCCATCCTGTTCTGACTTTACCTGTTGCATTTGTAATCCATTTATTTTTTTTTATCATTTATTGTTTCTATTTAGAGTCACAGGAAGCTGTTTTTTAGTGTCACTGGACAAAGGTCATCTGTTAACGTGAATATTTCTGGTTTGTTGGAGGAAACTAGAGGAAAGGGAGAAAGTCCACACATGCATGTTTTACAACAAGGATTTAGTTTGTATTTTAGAAAAATCTCTCAGTGTTCGTTTCTTCATTCTGATTTTAGAAACCGCAAAATTCCACAGGCTCAGTTTAAAGGCAGATATTCCAAAATTTTAGACTCAGTATCAAAATATTTCAAAAGTATCAAAAATATTCACACAGTGAACATTCAGCATATTAAGGATTTTTTTGGGAGAAACTTCAAGTATGGTTCTGTGTAAAAGTTATGAACAATTAGTATCTTATTTGTGGCAGATAGCTACTGTATTAGAATCACTTGAATCTGAAGAAATAAAGTTCAGTTCTGACTAAGCTGAAAAGCTAAAGGCTAGTCTTAATGCAGCTAAAACCAAAGTGGATGTTTGCCATCTTCCAATCTACAAAATTTTGTAACAATTCATGCAAATGAGTTTCTGCAATCAAATAACCTCAGAATTCTATGAAATAACTACTGTATATAAAGCTAAAATGACTGATGTGTAAAAGATCAATAAAACCAAAATTTAACTTATGAGATTGTTGCTGTTTTAGCTGTTAGTCCCTCAGTTCTAACTATCCCTTTAAGCTCTGTTGTTGTGACTGAAAGGAGCTCTTTGCCTCGTTGCATTGCTGCCACCATAATAACGTGTTTCTGTTCGTACAGACATGTTTGGTTCAACGTGCTTCTGTCTGACAGTGACCATCTCTCTGTCTGTAGACGTACACAGGCTCCATTCTGGTGGCGGTGAACCCCTACCAGCTGCTGCCCATCTACACCACCGACCACGTGCACATGTACACAGACCGCCGGCTGGGWGAGCTGCCGCCGCACGTCTTCGCCATCGCAGACACCTGCTTTTTCAACATGCGGCGCAACAGRAAGAACCAGTGCTGTGTCATCAGGTGGGCTCTGGACTCAGAACGAAGCACAAAATCTATGTTTAAGTTTTATTGTTTCTCTTGGTTCAAAGTGATTGTTTATGAAACATATTTAAAGAAAAGATCAAGCTCAATACCAAAACACTTACAGGTAGAAATGCAAAAGAGAAAATCCAGAACAGTGTGGCAAAAACTGAAACCWGGATAAAAGTATAAACATATAATGACTGAAAACATCACACTGTTGTCAACTCCTCTGTAAGAAAAGCCACTAAATGACATCATAATAAAATTGCATATTTGAACATTTGCCAATAAATCTGTTGAAGAGGAAAGTGAGTMAGAACACTAAATATGTTTAGAACTACAAATGAAAATGAAATTACTTCATGACTTTAATGCTTGGATCCACATTACATAATCATTTTTTTGTGAGAATATTAAATTTAAACCGGGTGGGGGAGGTGAAGTGACTGATCTGTGAGTCAAATGCAGCCGGGCCCAGAGATTTGTTTTAGTGAGACAGTGTCAGAGAAATAATGTTAAATTAAAAATTAAAAATGCTGTGTTAGCCAGTGTGGGAGCAGCAGCTTTGCACATGCATGATTCATTTGTAGTGGTCTCCTCTAAGCTGACTGCAGCCGGGCCGCTGCACGAGGCTTCGGTGAGTCGGACCGCTTGTCGGCTCTTCGGAAAGAGAAGATGAWSTGGCAAGTMAACAAATGGCACAAAGGGGCRTAAACAATAACAATCTTGCCGCTTYTTCACACACAACCTGCATGTCTGCTGAAAGCAGAGTAGTTCTAACAGATTTAATAACTAAGTTTCATCACAATTCAACCAGGATTCACTGAACCACAAAGCAAATAAAATCAGAATTGTGTCCAACGTTTAAAAACATAATCAGAAAAAAACATATCTATATTTCCTCTGAACCATAAATCCGCTGGGATAAAAGCAAATAAACTGAGTTACTTCATTTTCTAAAGGGCTTTAGGRCATTTAGGGTTTGGAAGGTTGAACCCCAGGTGCAGAACTGAATGACTGATAGTCCAGATATGTGGCAAAAACAAGGCTTTWTTAAAACAAAACAAAATGCTAACGTGGCAGCAAAACGTACTTACAAAAAAAAAAGAACAGAAACGGGTTTGAATATGAGGAACCATAAAAAAAACACAGTGTAGAGACGACCAAACAAAGAAACAAAGCTCTGACAGCAGACCGAGGACGGAGAAAAGAATATAATGAGGAACTAACGAGCTAACAAGAAACACCTGGGARAGAAACATGAGGCGCAGGTGAGAGTGGGTGGGGCCGGAGCAGAGACAGGCGAGTACAGAAACTAGAAGAGTAACCAAAAAACACAACAGATACAGACCGTGACACTTTCTGACCGGATTACAGAGATTTAAGTGGACGAAGGCGACTGTCACTCAATCTGTGACACACGTCTTTCAATTCAACTCAGTTTTCAATTCAGTTTATTTATATGGCGCCAAGTCACAACATACGTTGTCTCAGGGCACTGTATATAAAAAGAACAATCTAAAGAAGAAGCCAGCAGATTGTGTTGAATCACTTCATCACAGTCTCCCATCCTGAGCAAACGGGGGAGAGGAAAAACTCCCTGCTAATCAGGAAGAAACCTCCAGCAGAACCAGGCTCAGGACAGGCGGCCATCTGCCTCGACTGGCTGGTTGAGGGACAGGAAAGAGACACAGGTAAACACAGAAGAACTGGTCCAGGTGCACCTTATTCTGGAAGAGACAAAGAAAAAACGTTATTGATAGAATTAATTACAATAAACATGTAGAGAAGAGAGACTAAAGACAACATCTTTGTCTTTTTCCAGCTGAAGGCTAACACAGGTGTACACACAAAATGCTAAAGAAGCTACACACACAAAATGCGTGGCGCAGGCATGCAGTGTTGCATATGCGAAGGAATAGTTGTTTTGGTTTTTAGACAAAGTGAGCAAAACTAAATTTAGCGGAAGCTAATTTGTCTGCTACTGGTTATCAAAAATGCTAATACGCTAAATGAAAAGTTAGCTTTGCTGTATAGCTGTTAGCAGAACTATGTCCACAGTCCAACACTGGAGAGGAGGTTTAGAATATTAAAAAAGTACTAGTATTTACAAAAAAAACAACAACAACAAAGATCGTTCCGAAACATACTGACAGCTGTTCTTGTGTTTTATGTCCTCCAGCGGTGAGTCAGGAGCAGGGAAAACAGAGAGCACCAAGCTGATGCTGCAGTACCTGGCTGCAGTCAGCGGACAGCACTCCTGGATTGAGCAGCAGATCCTGGAAGCTAATCCCATCCTGGAAGGTCAGAGTCAAGCAGCCACACAAAAGCTTCTAATCCAGTCATCTCTGTCCATGAACCTTCTCTGTAGCCTTCCTCATTTCCTCCACCTCTCCTCACTCACTTCCACCTGCTCTCTGCTTTCTTATCTTCTAACAAAATATGTTTCCCTCTCAGCCTTTGGTAACGCTAAAACCATTCGCAATGACAACTCCAGTCGATTTGGGAAGTACATCGACATCAGCTTCACCAAAGGAGGGGCCATCRAAGGGGCCCGAGTGGAGCAGTACCTGCTGGAGAAGTCCAGAGTTTGTCGTCAGGTGAGGAAATCAACCGGCTGGATTTTTTCGGAGACATAAGTCAAGTTTTCTTGTAGTAAGAAATATTTATTGTCAAAAACAGGCACCTCAGGAAAGAAACTACCACATATTTTACTACATGCTGATGGGCATGCCAGCAGAGCAGAAGAAGATCCTTTCCCTTGGGACGGCTGCAGAGTACAAATACCTGACCATGGTGCTGTAATCTGTCCTTATTGTTTTTTTTTTATTATAAATATATACAGTATGTGTACCACAGATTAAGAATGTGTCCTAATTAAACAGGGTAACTGCACCAGCTGTGAAGGGCGCGATGATGTGACGGAGTATGCTCACTTCCGTTCAGCTCTGAAGATCCTCACCTTCTCCGACACAGACTCCTGGGAAATCTCTAAACTGCTAGCTGCAATCCTCCACCTGGGCAATGTGGGCTTTGAGAGTAAGAACACACTTTCTTAAATTTCTACCAGTAGTGTCAGTTTATCTGTCACTGGCTGTGATTTTCTGCATTATCTCAGGCACCATCGTGAGCAACCTGGAAGGCTGCGACGTCCTCAAGTCGGCTCACTTCAACATGGCCAGTCAGCTGTTAGAGGCAGGTGTAGCTTTATTTCTGCTAATAGAAACAGCAAACCAAGACCTAYTCTGATTGCTTTATGTTTTTAAATCTCAGGTGGATCCTAAAGCGCTGGATAAAAGTCTRACTCAGCGGTCCGTCACAACTGCCAGAGACACGGTGAACAAACTTCTGAATTCCGTTCAAGCTCTGGACGGCAGGGACGCGTTTGTCAAGGTGAAAGAAGCTAACCTTCTCTATCCAAAACATGCGTATTACTGACCCCAATAATGTCCCTCAATCTTGAGGTGTAGATGAAGTCTTGTTCTGAGGAGTTGGACCAAGCTTTAGTGTATTTGCTGCAGCAGGATGTTTTGATTGATAAACAGATTCAAAACTGTAAAACATGTTGAGATGGATTTATTTAATTTTAGTTTTTATAAAGGTGTTAATTTAAATTAATATTCTAACATCACATATGCATGTGTTGCAGTTGTGGGCATGGTTCCGCTTAACAGCTAACAGCAGAACTAATTTTCTATTAGCGGATTATATATTTTTTTGGCGGCATGGTGGTTCAGTTGGTGGAGCTGATGCCTCTCAGCAAGAAGGTTGCCGGATCAAATCCTGGCCCGGGGACCTTTCTGGGT